AGAAGACTGGCCATTTCAAACTGGAGTCTGACTCCTGGAACTTAGCCAAAGAGGTCCAGCTCGGAACCCCTGCAGAAGTCCCAATGACCCTAAAAGTCAAAAGCCGGTCTCCAAAATAAAATGACATCCCCCAGCTTAATCGTGCTCTGGGTTCTCTGTACATCCAGGAAGATTTACAGGGCCTCTTCTCTCCTGTCCCACCCCGCACACACCAGGCAGAGGAAGACTGGCCCTTTCAGAATGAAGTTCTCCAAGGGTCTCTCTTACCCACCTGCCTGAGCTGGGGAGCTCAGACACTAGTTTTGACCCACTGTGTTCAAGAGCTGGGCACTGAAGTGGGAATGTAGGCTGGGGCTGGGGTTGCTCAAGTTGCAAACCTTTCTTTCTCTGCTCTCAGAAGAGGATAAGGGAGGCAGATAAAAGGGGAGGTGTATTCCCCACGCTAAGTCTGATAGGAGACGGCCACCACAGCTTCACACCTACTCTTGGAGAGCACACTCCTCCCAATTACGCAAAAGTTACCCTCAAACATTTGCATGTTAACTTAATATTTAAGACACCTGCATCCCATAGTGGAGTACCTGGGTTCAATCTCCAGCTCTGGCTCCTGACTTCAGCTTCCTGCCAATGCACACCCTAAAAGGCAGCCGCAAGTGACAGCTCACGTAGCTGGATTTCTGCTCCCCATGCGGGAAACCTAGATTGAATTACTTGCTGCTGGCTTTGGGCCAGCCCAGTTCCAGCAACTCTGGGCATTTGGGGAGTAAACCAGGGGATGGACAGAATGAATCTCTCTGTCTCTCTGTCTCTCTCTCTCCCATCTTAAATAAATAAAATAATTTTAAAATAACATTTTAATTAAAAACAAAAATGTTTCCCATCCCAGCACAAGTCATTTCACCAGGGACCTTTGTTCCAAGGAAGAGCCCAAAAGAAGGAACAGACAGGGCACACAAACGATCAAAAATGAGCAGTCAGTCACAGCCCTTTCTCTGATGACCCGAGGTCCCTGTGGGGCACTCTATTCTCATGTCACATCAACGGCCAGGCCAAGACTTGTTCTCGGCCTGAGTTTGTGTCTGCTCCTCTGTGGCTGGAAAAGTGGAAAAACACCAGGCTATTTCAAAGAGATCAGTGAAGCAGCCTGAGCTTTTGAGACTGCACGTCGCACACAGCCCAGCCAAACCCCGCATCTTAGGATGCAGCAGAAACCCTGCAGAAGAGGAAGCCCAGGCCAAATCCATAGCATCCTGCTTAAGCCACTGCATGCATCGCGTGCATCGTGGTCTCTTGCCATGACTAAGTGCCGCTGTGCGCTGGGCTGACAAAGCAGATGCTCCAAAACAGGGACTGTCAGGGGGATCCGGGACAGAGCTGCAGGAGCCACTGGACAGACACCAAGTGCCCGGCTCACGGTGGGTCCTGAACAACCCACTTTCCCAAAGAGCGCCTCCCATGGATAGCAGGCAGAACCATGTGGCCCAAAGATGTCCATGTACTGGGCCCCAGAACACTGACTGAAACAGGAGGCGTGACGCAGAGAGAGCCATGAGACCTGGAACTTTGCAGCTGGGGCTCAGATCAGGGTTCTGAGAGGAGGACAGGATGCTGAATTATGCAGGTGGACACAACCTAATCTCACGAGCCCTCCAGAAAGCAGAAGACGGCAGCAGAGGGGGTCACAGAGACGTGACGTGAGGACTTGATCTTACAGCTGCTGGTTGGAAGATGGAGAAAGGGACTGAGAGCCAGGGAATGCAGAGGCCTGCAGTAGTGGGGAATGGCCCTCAGTGCACAGCCAGCCCCTCTGGTCCTACAGCCATGAGAAGTGCATTGTGCCAGCAACTCAATTAGGCGGTACATGGATTTTCCACCAGAGCTTCCAGAAACATGTCTGATGATACCTTGACTTCATTCCCATGAGACCCATTCTACACTTCCATCTACAATATAATAATAACAAAAAAGTAAAGCCATTAAATTTGTGGTAAGTTGTTAGAGCAACATTAGAAAATGAATTTGCTGTTAGATCCTGAGTAAGTCACTCTTTCTTGCTGGGCTTCCGCTCACTTCATGGCAAAGAATGGACAAGCTCTCAAGAATGAGTGCCAGGGCCGGCACTGTGGTGTCCCGGCTAAGCCGCCGCCTGCAACACTGGCATCCCAAATGGGCGCCGGTTCCAATCCTGGCTGCTCCACTTCTGATCCAGCTCCCTGCTAATGTGCTAGCGAAATCAGTAAAATGAGGATACTCTATCCATACACAACTAAGCAATTTACAGTGCAGTCGGCCCTCTGCCTCTGTGGCTTCTCATCTCAGATTCAACAAACCTTGGGTCACGAATATTGCTAAAAATTCCTGAACATGCAAGACTTTTTTCTTGTTATTCTCCACAGAATACAGTAGAATAACTATTTACATAGCAATTACATTCTGTCGGGTATTATAAGTACTCTGGAGATGATCTCAAGAGTATTCACACATCTGTAGACTTGAGCATCCACAGACTTTCCTGTCCATGGAGGGTCCATGGGTACTGAGGATAAGGGCACACAGTGAGTGAGTGAGTGAGTGAGCCTTGCTGTTGTTTACTGTGGCCAGCAATCCCAACTCCAGTCTGTTCCCCTTCCTGGCTTATTGGTGGATGTGCTCCCTTCCCTGGCGGGGGAGGGGGTCACTGTATGTTTCCTAGCGAGTTACAAGGGTATCAGGGTCTCTAGTGAGCTGCTAGGTCAGCAGCTATCAAAGCCCCATTTACCTTCTCCCAAATAAGCTACAGAGGCAAGAGCTGAAGCCTGGGTCCCCCCATTCCAGTGAGGTACAGAGGACAGGCCCTGGAACTAGGACCGTTTGCGTTCAACCGGCATCTGTGCCACCTGCTTCCTGGGTGCTCCTCACTGTGGCCCTCGGTTTCCTCCCCTGTGAGACAAAGGCAGTGACAAGCCCTCTCGAATGAGACTGTCGTAAGGACTAAGCGAGTTCATGCCTGTAAGACACTTAGAACGATGCCCGGCTCCTACTGATCACCATGTGTAACTGGTGTTACATCATTCAGCACACTTGGCCACTGCAGGGTGTGGCAGTGCCAACGCTGACTCGTCTACACCGTGGGTGGGAGCAGGTGTATCTGTCTTTGATGCCACTGCCAGCAGTGGCCATGTGATCCCAGCCAAGATGAAGACTTTCTTTCCTGGGAGCTATGGCCCTTCTTGTGTATGTTTGAATCTATAGACAAAAACTAGAGCACATTAAAAAAAAGTAATTTAAAAAAAAGGAAGTAAAAGAAGGATCAGCTTATGGCCAGGAAAGCAACTGAGGTCGTGACCCGTGCTCTGCCACTTCTTAGACCTGAGGGTCCGTCACTTGTCATCTCTCTCATTACAGCTCAGTGGTTCTGCTGCACCACACGGGGACAATCCCAAGACCTTCTGAGCAGCTAGGAGGTCAGCATGTGGGACACTTGATGAGCGTGACTTGTGAGCCCCACAGCATGAGTCATAGCCCTCAGGGCGGCTGGAAACAGGAGGTCTCGGATGCAGAAACACTGCTTGGCTTTTTCCGTTCGCACTGCAGGAGTACATCACGTCCTGCCGCACAGCTGGGCTGTCTTACGAATGTCCAGTGGGTTGGCGAGTGCCCTGCCTAACCCAAAAGAGAATGCCGTGGCCACTCCCAAGCATGCACCTGTCTCCTTCCCTGTCCTCACGCTGCAGAGGTCCAGGGCCTCAGTCAAGGTAACTCAAAGCTGTGGACAACGTTGTGGCACAGCGGGTTAAGCCGAGGCCTGCCACACCAACATCCCAGGGCTGCTTGGAGTCCTGGCTGCTCTGCTTCCAGCTTAGGTCCCCGCTAATGTGCCTAAGAAGGCAGCAGAAGATGGCCTAAATACTTGGACCCTTGCCTTCCACTTGGGAGACCCAGATGGAGTGCTAGGCCCCTAACTTTGGCATAGCCCAGCCCTGGCCTTTGCAGTCATTTGGGGAGTGAACTGGCAGGTGGAAGATCTCTTTCTCTGTTTCTCCTTCTCTGTGTGTCACTTTGCCTTTCAAATACATAAATCTTAAAAAATAAAAAAATAAAAAAAAAAAACTCAGAGGATCTTCCCAATCCCATCTGGCAGTCACTATCCTGGTGCCCACTGCCCTGGTACCAGAGAAGGCCAGTGTGTGTAAGCCTTAGACAGTCACTGTCCGAAGAGGGACGCCAGTCAGCCCCCAGGCGCCAGCCAGCAGGAGTGGGCGCCGGGCTGGCTGCTGTATCAAAGTAAGAGCCCGGACACTGGCACAGATGTTTCGTTTGACCCGCGAACATGTATTGAGCACCAACTATTTGCCAAGCACTAGCAGTCCCTGGCCAGGAGAAATGGGAGGGCAGGCGGGGAGTCTACCTGCCACAACTACATCCCAGGTAAAGGAGAGGTGGCCAGAGGAAGGACCAAGATAGCTTTCCCACTCCCTCTTCCGTCTTCCGTGCGAACGATGGTTTCCCCGTTTCACAGATGGAGAAACAAGGCTGGCAGAGAACAGGGAAGTAGCTGCGACGGCAGCGGCAGCAGGGCTAAAACCCATCGGGTCCGGACTCCCACACTCCCGGCAGAGAATCTCTGCTCTGGGCGGTGCAGATCGGAGCCCTTCAGTGCTCGGGCCAGGAGCCGGGCCTGGAGGGCCGAGGGCGGCAGAGCGGCTCGAGGAGGGGGCGCGCTTCCCGGGAAGGCAGGGCAGGAAATCCGGGGAGGAAGCCGTCCCCTGGTGGGGCTCTGGCATCCACGGAGGCCCAAGACCGTGAGCAGAAGGTGGCGGCGACTCGAGCTGGGAGCGGGAGAAAGGGGAAGCGGGGCGGGGGAGCAAAGAGCAAGTGAGGAAGGCGAGAAGGGAGCCGGGAGAGAGCACCGCAGGGGCGGCGAGAGGACCCCGGGCAGGGGGCAGCACGAGCTTCCGCTCGCGAGTTCGCAGGGCTCTGTGGAGTTGAGCCCCGCAAACGCCGCCGGTGGCCCCACTCACCGCGATCCGCTGAGCTGCTGTCAACACCGCGACCGGGTCGCCGCCGGATCGCGGAAAGTTCCTGGCACAGGACTGGTGGGCGCTCCTCCAGGTCCCGGGACCGCTGGAGATCCTGCAGCCGAAAGCGACCCCGACCCGCGCCAGGAACCCGCGGGGCCCCTCAGCACCCGGACACACGGGAACGCGCAGGAGCGGCCGGGACGCGTGGCTCGGCACCCGCGCGCGGCGCGCGGCGGCTCAGGAATGCGCGGCCGCCGGGGCGCGCCCCCGGAAAACCCCGGCCCCTGGCCCGGGCAAGCTCGCTCGGCTCCTCCCCCTATCTGCCCCGCGGGTCGTGAGCGGGAAAGCCCCCTGCGCGGGGACCTAGGCACCGGGAATTCGCGTTAAGTTCGCCCCTGACCGCACACTAGCCCTGGATAGGTCGCTTTGCTTCTCCGGGCCGCCGCTCTGCGTATCGTGAACAGGGAGGGCGGGCCCGAAAGGTACCCTGCGAGGTCCTGTCCAGCTGTCGTCTAGACAAGGGCAAGTCCAGCAGGTGGGTTCGGGGCGGTGAGCTGCGTGTGCAGTGGTCAGGAGGCTTCACCTGGTTCATTCTCTGTAAGGCGCGTCCAGCCTCAGTGGGAGGACCAGTGCGAAGCTGGTTGGTTGCATGACATCATAGGCCCCTGAGCGTCCTGTGATTTTGTGATGACGATAAACAGCCCAGCACCGAGCCGACACCAGGCTTCCCAGCCCCACGCAGGGTGCCAACCCTGCGGCCGCCTGCCCCGCTCGCTCTGTTGTTCCTGGCAGGGGTGGCTGCCATCCTGGCAGGGGTGGCTTGACTCACTCCTACCATTCTGGAAGCAGGAGCGCAGGCCTTGACACCCCGTGGCGTCCTGCGGAGTGTGGGAGCCCCGCTGCGTTTAGGTTTCTTCCTTTCCCCTGTGGATACAACAAGAGCTGCGGGTACTCAGCCAGGCCCAAATCCCGTATGGAGTAGGCCCTGACATGACCCGGCCGCCTCCCCGCATTCGCGGATCCGGTCTGCAGAAAGGAAGTCATCCCATCCCATACACGGGCGTGAAGGCGACTGACTGAGAGATGATTCTGACAGACATTCTAAGGCTTGTCACCCAGCAGCATGTTCTGCTAAGACGAAGTGTGGGATCCTAAATACAAGCAGAATGAATTCTGGGGAGTTTCGTTCAACACTTTTCATAGTAGAAAAAAACTTAAAGGAGGAGGATCTTAATCCAAATTTTTCCCTGGTTAGAGGAAGGCGGAGGGAGTTCTTTTGGGTGGGCAACTGGTAACCCGATGCGTGCAAGACAAGGCAGAGGCCCAGGGCCAGAGCCAGTATCCACCATGCTGCATCTGCCTTTCCCGGTTAGCCGTGGACCGGTATTTTGCTATTTCGTTATTATCAATTTGCCTTGAAACCAAGAAGCAAGTCAAACAGAAAGCTTGCGTCCCCTATGAGCAGTGTACCGCGTGAAGCCTGCTGTCTCAGCTGCACTGATTTGGCTGCAAGAGAAGAGGGTTGGATGCTGGGTTGGAGTGGAAGCAGGGAGAACACGGCCAATTTCATCAGTAAGCTTTTGTCATAACACAAAAGAACCGAAAAACAACTCAGATTTCACTGTCTTCTTGTTGCTGTTGTTTTAATTGACTTATCAGAGAGATGGAGAAAAACAGTTTCCACCCTGTGGTTTACTCCCCAAATGCCCGCAGCAGTCAGGGCTGGGCTGACGCTAAAACGTGGAGTCTGTATCGCAGTTCAGATCTCACAGAATGGCAGGAGCCCATTTACTAGAGCCATTACGGCTGCCTCCCAGGATCCGCGTTAGCAGGGAGCTGGAGTCAGGAAGCAGAGCTGGGACTTAAACTCCAACAGGGACTCAGCCTGCTTTTACCTGCTGAGTTAGCCACTAGGGCAAATGCACACACCCAGTATTACACTTTCTTGGTCCTCAACTACAAATACAGACTACCCCTGTCTCACAAGGGCTCAACCTGTGATTTTTACCTTACCATAGTGTAAAGCAATACACATTCAATCTTTCCCCAGGCTAGAAATGTTTAGTCTGTGCTGCTTTGTGGCGCTGGGCAGTGGCAGTGAGCTCAGGCACACAGAGGGGTAATAGTTGATACTGCACAGTGTATCACTGTTTTGTTACACTATGATGTTGGGTAGGTTAGGTATCGTAAATGCATTTCTGAATTACAATATTTTTGATTGGTGATGGGTTTACCAGGATGTGACCCCCACCCTAAGTCAAGAAGCGTCTGTGTGTTCCAAAGAGAAAACAGTCAGGAGCAATGCTCACTTAGAGATCCCTTGACAGTGAGGGGAAATTTGCATAGAAGTGTAGGCTAATGACACTGGCTTCCATGGAGATACTGCTCAGGAGTGCACTTTTGGCCCAGTGATTCAGATGCCCGCATCCCACATCGGAGTATCTGGGTTCAATTCCAGACCTTGGCTCCCGACTCCAGCCTCCTGCCAATGAAGGCCATGGGAGACAGCGGTGGCAGCATAAGTGATTGGGTTCCTGCCACCCATGTGGGAAACCTGGATTGAACTCTTGGCTCCCAGCTTTGACCCTGGCCTTGGGCCCAACTCCAGTCCCAGCTCTGCAGGTATCTGGGGAATGAACCAGCCAGTGGGATTTCTTTCTCTCTCTCTCTCATAAATAATAATAATAAATGTTTTAAAGTAGAAACTGCTTCAGGGTCCCCCCACTAGGCTGCAGTCCATAGCACATACCCTCACTATGAATCCTGTCTACACAGACTTTTCATTTGTCACCTGCACAGGTATATGTATTTAGTTGTGGGGAAGAATGTGATATACTGGATTGGAAATCAGAAAAACTAAATTCTGTGCCTGTTGTTCAGTAGCTAGAGGAACACTAGTGCCTCAATTTCCTCACTTGTAAAATAGCAAAATGAGACCAGTCCCTTCTGTCTAATGCAATTATTTGAATATTTTGTTCATGTTCTCCTTCATGTAAAGCTATTCACTGAATATCTCCTACACATTCCAGCCACAAAGAAGACAAATTATCTCTCTTGACTGTGCTTTCATCGAGTGGAAACACATTCACAATGTAGGGAAAAAATAGGCAAGATCATATCAGCTTGTGACATCATGCAGAGCACGAGATGATGTGATAGAAACACAGAAAGAGTTTTGTCACAGAGACTCTCGTTAATCTGAATTTCCTTCACCTCACCCCGGTTAGAATGGCTCACATACAGAAATCTACCAACAACAGATGCTGGCGAGGATGTGGGGAAAAAGGGACACTAACCCACTGTTGGTGGGAATGCAAACTGGTCATGCCACTATGGAAATCAGTCTGGAGATTCCTCAGAAACCTGAATATAACCCTACCATTCAACCCAGCCATCCCACTCCTTGGAATTTACCCAAAGCAGTTTAAATTGACAAACAAAAAAGCGGTCTGCACCCTAATGTTTATTGCAGCACAATTCACAATAGCCAAGACCTGGAACCAACCTAAATGCCCATCAACGGTAGACTGGATAAAGAAATTATGGGATATGTATTCTTTAGAATACTATACCGCAGTAAGAAACAACGAAATCCAGTCATTTGCAACAAAATGGAGGAATCTGGAACACATCATGCTGAGTGAAGTAAGCCAGTCCCAAAGGGACAAATACCATATGTTCTCCCTGATCGGTGACAACTGACTGAACACCAAAAAGGAAACCTCCTGAAGTGAAATGGACACTATGAGAAATGGTGACTTGATCAGCATAGCCCTGACTGTTAATGGACAACTTAATACATTATCCCTCTTAGTATTTTTTTTGTCTGTTCTACTTAATATGACTGGTTTAATTCTGTAATTATCACACAGTTATTCTTAAGTGTTGAAAATTAACTGAAATGTGATCCCTGTTAAACATAAGAGTGGGAATAAGAGAGGGAAGAGATGTATAATTTGGGGCATGCTCGGGCTGACTTGCCCCAATTGGTAGAGTTGGAAACATACCAGGGGATTCCAGTTCAATCCCATCAAGGTGGCATGTGCCAATGCTATCTCACTATTCCAAGTGATCAATTTCAGTTCACAATTGATCATAATGAAAGGACTAAGAGTCAAAGGGAGCACATAAACAAGTCTAGTACCTGCTAACACTAACCGATAGAATAAATAAAGGGGAGAGTGATCCAACATGGGAAGTGAGATACTCAGCAGACTCATAGAATGGCGGATGTCCTAAATAGCACTCTGGCCTCAGAATCAGCCCTAAAGGCACTCGGATCTGGCTGAAAAGCCCATGAGAGTATTTCAGGCATGGAAAGCCAAGACACTCTGGCAAAAAGATCTCTGTGAGTGAGATCCCAGTGGAAAGAACAGGTCTTCAAAGAGGGAGGTGCCTTTCTCTGCAGGGAGGAGAGAACCTCCACTTTGACTATGACCGTGTCTAAACAAGATAAGAGTCGGAGAACTCAAGGGGCTTCCATAGCCTTGGAAACTCATGACTGGTGCATAGGGAGATTACTGATGCCATAAACAGGAGTGTCAATTTGTAAAGTCAACAACAGGAGTCACTGTGCACTTACTCCTCATGTAGGATCTCTGTCCTTAATGTGCTGTACATTGAGGCTTAATGCTATAACGAGTACTCAAACAGTATATTTCACTTTGTGTTTCTATGGGGGTGCGAACGATTGAAATCTTTACTTAATGTACACTAAACTGATCTCCTGTAAAAAAAAAAAAAAGAAAAAAAAGAAATTATCAATTCCCAACTTGACTCTCACTGGGATTAAACGTGACAATAGGTCTGATCTGATTTCATCATCATTTAAAAAAAAATCAAATCATCTATTATTTTTCACTTTATGTTTCTGTGTGGGAGCAAACTGTTGAAATCTTTACTTAAGGTATACTAAGCTGATCTTCTGTATATTAAGATCATCGAAAATGAATCTTGATGTGAATGGAAGGGGAGAGGGAGTGAGAAAGGGGAGGGTTGTGGGTGGGAGGGACGGTATGGGGGGGGGGAGCCATTGTAACCCATGAGTCGTACTTTGGAAATTTATATTCATTAACTAAAAGATAAAAAAAAAAATTAAAACTTAAAAAAAATCTGAATTTCCTCCATTTTTAAAATAATTAAT